GAAGTCTGAGATTTCCAAGTGCCGAGTTCCCAGTTGTTTTGAAAGCGGCAGAAGTCATGCTGGATTGACAGCATGGCCAATGTTGAATGTTTATCCTTTTAAACTTGGAAAAGATACCCTTAAACCCAGATTTGGACCACACACCCACTCCACTGAATAGCAGGCTAGTGATCGCTTTGCATTGCTTGCAGTTAGCCACTGATTCCTTCCAAACCACTCATTGTTGAATTTGCGATTTCCAACTTGTTGTGTAATGTTTATGTCCAATGGCCGATGAGCACCGATACGTTTTATCCATAATTTCTCTTCATAATTTCTCTTCGTATGACAAGGATTGAAAAGGATTTGCCAGTAGATTGCCGACTTGATTCATGATGATGACTGCTAGCTTGCTAGCTAAGATTTTGAAGGTATGGCGTTGACATGATCAGTCCAATCAAAGCTACTGTAGATATAACGTGATTTGACGTCCTTTTATCTGTGGCCAATGACCCTTGAGCCTTCTTAGATGGGAACTTCTAATGTAACTCTATGGCAGCACCCAAGGGGCTTGAATTTTCGAGCTCAACCCGTAGATTTTACGGTGACGTAGTGTCCCCATGAGCGACAGAACACTGAGCCAATCACGGCACAACTGGAGAACATTACCAACCCCTACGCTCCGAGCTAGGCTGAAACACCTGCATTTTGGAGCTGCCTTACTCAAGAAAGCAAAAAAAGAGACCAAGTTTATTAACTCAGTGATTATTTAATTTTTTACATTGTTTGCAAACTGATATGTGACACGTATGAATGCCAAAATAACATGCAAAACAGGCACAAAACTGTTTTTTTTTTAGCTGAACAGGTGGGGCTCAAAACAGGTGGGGATCTGCCCTGAATGACGGGTCGCCACTGGATAGGTTAAATCTAATAGTAAGTATTTTATAATTTGATTACTATATATATTAATTACATTTATATTTAGAAAGCATTGCAGTCATTTTAAGCCCTATTCCCCCACTTTTGTTGAATAGGGGGGGGGGAAATGATATATATGATTTATGTTTTTTCATATTTTCATATTTGTACTAAGTACTTGAGGTTGTGTCCTCAAACGTGAGTACACCTCACCAATTTATAATACTTTTTTTTTTTACTAGAAAGGTGAATTCCAGATCTTTCTAGAACTATCCAGCTTTACTGGTTATGGTTTATGGCCATCTCATGAAAAGTAAATACTTTTGTCTATTTAGACAGAACTAAACAGTTTTTGCCATAACGTTCAAGAGGAACAGATTCTGATTTACGATGACATGCCTGTTGCAGTGCTTGGCATCAGTGACCCAACGGTAATAGAAAATGTACAGGCGGGAATATTCTCTTAAACTACATCAAACTGAAGCTGAATCCAAACTAAAACAAAGCAATAGACAATAAATACAACGGAATCTAAAACTGAATTGTAATGATATCACTTTATTATCAATAAATTGTCCTACCTTAAAACAAACATGACCGCATTCTGACAGTGTTTAGCTGTTAAAGCTGTCAAGATTAAGAGCAGGCAAGCTAATACAGTTTATTCCAATGAATCTATTGAACTCCTGCGGGAGTCAAGGACGGCATCTGCTCTGGCACACGAGACGGCAGTACAGACCTGGGCTAGCTAACAACATTATCATCTGCCTCGATGGGAGACTGGCAGCACCTAGCCTACTCGTCTCCCCGTTTCTCCCCTAGCTACAATATGCACTGGACATAACAGTGCTGATGATGACAAAATGGCTTAGGATGTGCGTGTGTGTGTGTGTGTGTAAAAGATTAAATCCGATCTGCGTTATAGAGCATTTTACATTTAAAGATAATTTCCAATTGAGCCGACATGTGCAGCATTTACCGTGAATTCGGAAACATTGAAAAGGTGCATGGCCAACAAAGCCAGTGGCATTGATTGGGTCTTCAGTATTTGACAACAGAAGGTGTACAGAGAAAGAATCAGCTATGATGTGAATCAGATAGGATGTCATTATTATCTAAAAAAATATATATATAAAACAGAAACTTTCATACCAAACTGTAATTTCTGTAATACATGTTGTAATACTATCTCAGTATTGTTTACTGAATACTGTATGCTCTGGATGATTTCAAATATAATTCAGCCTTGTTCGTATGCATGAGACATACAAATGAAGTTCAGGAAGATCAGTCAGCAGAAAATAAAAATGCAACACATTGATAATTCATGCACAGACACACACTCTCTCTCTCTCTCTCTCTCTCTCTCTCTCTCTCTCATCCAATTAATAAAGAACACAGTTGTTTGATAGTGATCTAAAACAACACACAGCCAATTTAAATGCAACAATCAGCCTTTTGAGGTTTATTTGAAACAACTCCCAACATCGAGTCTCAAAGAAAGAAACGAGTTTATGAAAATAGGCTCCCTCTTACTGATTGAGTCAGTATACTCTCTGTAGTTCACTATACAGAGAATAGGGTGGCATTTGGGACGTACCCTCAATCTCTGGAGGTCAGGAGAGAAACATGTATGAAAAAATGTGCCTCTATCTGAGGTTTTTCCTTGAATCAATAGGAAGACATTTGGTCATGTTGGTGGATGGCCAAGCCAAGGCAAGGACATAGGGCAATGGGAGTTTATTTCGAGCTCCTGTCAGAGACACCCTAAGCACGGTAATGATTTAAGTATTATGAGTATCCTCAATGACAAATGTTACTAGATTAAAATTATAGAAATCAAGAAAGCAAGAGTATCCCGGGTCAGTGTTGATCTACACTCAAGGAGCAACTCAAGCATTACACATCTAGTCACTAACTTCACACATAACATAGTTCTTACCTGTCAAAGGAATCCTGCTGGTTATTGCATCCAGTCGGTCTTATATTCCTCTATTCCTACTATTTGATATCTGGAAGTCTCTAAAAGTATTGTAAACCAGTACTACTACAAACTACTACAACTCTCCAATGAAATATTCCGTTGCGTTTTAGTCCCCCCCCATGTCCTCCTCTTTAGCTGACAAATATTTTGCTTTCACAAAGGAAAATAACACTTTCCTCTTTTAAAGGAAATTCCTGAAGAGTTCCTTCCTCTACGCTGCCTCAACAACAATTACATTCAAACAACCAGGACCAGGGAACACTTCCTGTGTTCTAGCCAAAACACTTCCTGGACAATGGTAGACTACAGCTACACCACATGCAGAATGTGTCCCAAATAGCACCCTATCACCTACATAGTGCACTGCTTTTGACCAGGGATCCTTTAGAAAAATAGTAGGGAATAGTGGACACAACCCTTATAGCTATTTCTCAATAAGTTGACCACAACTCTGCCTACTCCTCTTACCAACACATTAATAATGTTGTAAAAGTTTTCAACATCACCGTTGATCATGTTCTTTCCGTATAGATACTCTCACATTTCCCAGAAGGCACCATGTTCCCTATAAAAGTGCACTACTTTTAACCAAGCCCCATAGGGTGTGGCTGAATGCCCCCGTACCCGTGTAGGGCCTCAGTGTGATTTCCTGACAGCTTAGTCCTTCATGTGGGATTTTCCATATCTGTTGGATGGGTAAACATGTTAGGTTGTGTAATATCATTAGTCAATATGGGGTTGGGGGATAATGAAGACATTGATAGGTGATATTTTTTTTAAAGAACATCAGGGCCAATTGGAATCTTCACCGTTTATTAGATTTATTTTTCACACATGAAACACAATAGACCCAAATGAATTAAAAACCTCCAACTCCATCAAATAAAAGCAAGGACATGTTCAGCTTTCTTTCTCTGTTATTAACATTGCAGATATGTGTTTACCTATACAGGTATAAAAATACAGCGTGACACTCTATTCATGATAGTCATACATTTTCTTTAGTGTAACCAAACACCAGAGACTTGCATTAAGTGAGGGAGTGAGGGAGAGAAATAGAGAGACAGCGAGAGAGGGACAGTGAGAGAGAGACAGTGAGAGAGAAAGAGTGAGAGAGAGACAGTGAGAGAAAGAGTGATCCACCTGAATGTAATACAATGGCTGCATTAAAAACATGATTTCCTTCTGTTATTCTGTTTCTTTACATTTCTAAATTCCTACATCTCTTGATTGTACAAAAATAAAAATGGATTCTTCAGCATATGCTGTACCAATTTCCAATTTGCACCTTCCATTTTGGTATTTGAGCAGAATTCAAATTAAAGGTGTTGAAGCAAAAAAAGGGACAAATTGTAATAATCAAATTGATGTAAAAAAAAAAAAAGAAAAAGAAAAAAGCCTTCTCGCTCTCAAAGATTAATAACAGCAGTTAATAGAGTTTACATAAACGTTGCTTTTATTTGCAATTATGGTCTCTGACAGCATTGTCACTCTTGTTAGAACGTTATACAGGGAGGGCTTTATGTTGAGTAAATATGCTCCTGCAACGATTATATATCCAAAGCTTCAAAACAAAAGTAAATAATTTCATACATAAAAAATGAAAAGTAGTTGTTGTTTTTTTGTGCCTGTGTATATAAACATACTTTTCTTAAAAATAACAATTGAATCTATACTATTCTTGTGCAATAGACCCCCTGGATACAAAAAATACAACACCTAATCTTGAAAAAAATATGCATTGTAACAGAATGACAACACAACACTAAATATGTGAGGCGCTACTGGTATGAATTTGGTGAGATGGTAATATGTTCAATAAATTTTGACTATGTACAAAAGACAATACTTAATATTACAATACAGATTCATCTTATTTACAGTTAAATTGCAGTCTAAACAATCTCATGTACCCCATATGTGATAAGTCCAATTTGTGGGGAAGGACCAAAAGGGAATAAAAGTATTGTTACGTTACGCACAACTTCATGAGATGAGATGTGAACTCATCTGTCAAGTTTAAAAAATGTTGAGCAGTTAGGGGTGTTGCGTGTATATGGAGCCGATAATATGGGTAGTACATGAGAGAGTTTATATAAATCAGCCCCACAATTCATCATTTCTTTGGTGACACGGACAACTCGAGTTTTGGGAAATGGAAACCACCTCTAGACCCACTGTCGGTGCTGGAAGATGAGGAGATTCTAGACTTTTTAGAGGGGAGAGATACACCCCCACTTCTCACCTCTACCCTCTCTTCACTATCTTCACCCAGTGACACTTCATATGAGCCCGTCGACTTTGAGCCAAAACCACCAAAGGTGCCAAACTTTAACTTGCCCTTCTTTCCTTTCACCTTGGCCCCATCAACATCCACAGAGATGTCGCCACCCTCAGCACTTAAGTGACCTGAGGGGGAAGACACAGCCAGACCTCCCTCGTCACTCGCCACAGAGGAAGACCGATGCCTTGATTTCTTAAAAAGATCCAGTGAGGCTGACTTGCTCTTAGGGGACGCACCAAGCCCAGATCCTCCCTCTACTGACAACTTGCCACTCACTAACTCCCCGTGACTTAAACTCAACTCTTTGGAGGCCTTAACGCCGCCACTACCACCGGCTCGCAGTTCTGCGTCCGGCCCCTGGAAGCTTAGATCCGCTGCACTACCTCCCTTTGCTTTTGACTTGCCAAAACCGAACCTTGGCATCTTGACCTTTACTTTCCCACCAGTGTTCTTCACGTCCGGGCTGTGCAGCTCCAGGCTCGGAGAACTAACGCTACCACTAACCAAAGGAGTCTGCACATCCATCTTCCCACCCACCACTGCTGCCCCTGCCCCTGCATCAACATCTACTCCCATCTCTGGTCCATGGTACTTCGGAACATTGATTTTGGGGAATGATACGTGTCCCTCTGGGAAATGTAGTCCACCGTATCCTGAAACATTTGAGTCTCCTTCTACTCCTCCTCCTCCCATATCTATCTTAGGACCTTTAAAACCTTTCAGATTTTGCCCGTTCACATTTACGTCGACATCAGGGACATTTACCTGGGGCCCTTTGATTTTCATCCCTGGAAATTTTATGTTAGACTTAGTTTTTACATCTGGGACTTCCATGTTTACATCTGGGCCCCCAATATTGGCTTGTAGGCTCCCAGATGACAAGCCACCAGACAGAGAGCCATCACCTTTAACTTTGGGAGATTTTACATCAAATTCCACATCGGGGAAATGAAGTTTTCCAAAGAAGGGTTTCTTTACTTTTGCTCCTTTCAGGTGAAGCTCAGGAGAGTCAACATCTAAATCTACACCTGATGTTTCAAGGTCAATATCTACATCAGGTTTCTTTGCTTTCCCTTTGATTTTGGGTAGTTTGAATTTGCCTTTCTTTCCTTTGAAATGAACATCAACATCAGGGGCTTCTAGACTACTGTCAACCTCTGGCAAATCTAATTTGGGGCTCTTACCTCCCATGTGGAACTTTGGGGCCTTGAATTTAGGCCCTTTGATATTTGCATCCCCTAGGTTAAGGTCAACCTCAGGTGCCTTCACATCAATCTTTCTGTGAGAAATATTCAGTTCAGGACCTTCAACTTCTGGGGACTTAATACCAAATGTGGGACCTTTGAACTTTGGAAACTTGATCTCTGGTTTTTCAATACTGAAACTGGGACTTCCCATATCAAGGGAACCACCTGACAACTTTGCATCAGGGCCTAAGATGTCGAGATCTGTACGTGAAATGTCAACACTAGGTCCCTTGATGTCTATATCAGCTTTTGGTAGGTTAACATCAACATCTGGACCCTCAACTTTGTGTCCTTTGAATCCAAATGATGGCATATTTATCTTTGGCATCTTAAATCCTCCTGAACCTTCAAATTCAACATCTGGACCTTCAATGTCTACTTTGGGTGCTTTGAGGTCTCCTGACATATCAAAATCTCCCTTCACCTTTGGACCTTTCAGATTGAAGTCCATGTCAGGCATTGAGATGTTTGGTCCTGAAATTGAAGGCATCTTGAATTGTGGTCCTTTGATTTTACAATCTGGACCTTCAATGTCTAGGTTTGGACCTTTGATGTCTCCTTCGATCTTGGGGACTGACACGTCGAAATCTCCTTTCATCTTTGGACCTTTCAGGTTGAAGTCCACATCAGGCATGGAGATCTTTGGTCCAGAAACTGATGGCATCTTGACTTTTGGCCCTTTGATTTTACCATCTGGACCTTCAATGTCCAGTTCAGGACCTTTGATGTCAACATTAGGCCCCTTAATGTCAATGTCAGCTTTAGGTAGGTTAACATCAATATCTGGACCCTCAACTTTGTGGCCTTTGAATCCGAATGATGGCATTTTCATCTTTGGCATTGTAAATCCTCCTGAACCTTCAATATCAATATCTGGACCTTCGATGTTTACTTTGGGTGCTTTGAGGTCTCCTTCGAACTTGGGGACTGACACATCGAAATCTCCCTTTGCCTTTGGACCTTTCAGGTTGAAATCCATGTCTGGCATTGATATCTTTGGTCCTGACATTGAAGGCATCTTGAATTTTGGCCCTTTGATTTTACCATCATTCCCTTCGATGTCAATTTCTGGACCTTCAATGTCAATGTCAGCTTTAGGTAGGTTGACATCAACATCTGGCCCCTCCAGTTTGGGTCCTTTGAATCCAAATGACGGCATCTTCATCTTTGGCATCTTAAATCCTCCTGAACCTTCAATGTCAACATCTGGACCTTCAATGTCTACTTTGGGTGCTTTGAGGTCTCCTGACATATCAAAATCTCCCTTCACCTTTGGGCCTTTCAGATTGAAGTCCACATCTGGCATGGAGATATTTGGTCCTGACACTGACGGCATCTTGAATTTTGGCCCTTTGATTTTACCATCTGGACCTTCAATGTCCAGTTCTGGACCTTTGATGTCAACATTGGGCCCCTTAATATCAATGTTAGCTTTAGGAAGGTTGACATCAACATCTGGCCCCTCCAGTTTGGGTCCTTTGAATCCAAATGATGGCATCTTCATCTTTGGCATCTTAAATCCTCCTGAACCTTCAATGTCAACATCTGGACCTTCAATGTCTACTTTGGGTGCTTTGAGGTCTCCTGACATATCAAAATCTCCCTTCACCTTTGGGCCTTTCAGATTGAAGTCCACATCTGGCATGGAGATCTTTGGTCCTGACACTGACGGCATCTTGAATTTTGGCCCTTTGATTTTACCATCTGGACCTTCAATGTCCAGTTCTGGACCTTTGATGTCAACATTGGGCCCCTTAATATCAATGTTAGCTTTAGGAAGGTTGACATCAACATCTGGCCCCTCCAGTTTGGGTCCTTTGAATCCAAATGATGGCATCTTCATCTTTGGCATCTTAAATCCTCCTGAACCTTCAATGTCAACATCTGGACCTTCAATGTCTACTTTGGGTGCTTTGAGGTCTCCTGACATATCAAAATCTCCCTTCACCTTTGGGCCTTTCAGATTGAAGTCCACATCTGGCATGGAGATCTTTGGTCCTGACACTGACGGCATCTTGAATTTTGGCCCTTTGATTTTACCATCTGGACCTTCAATGTCCAGTTCTGGACCTTTGATGTCAACATTGGGCCCCTTAATATCAATGTTAGCTTTAGGAAGGTTGACATCAACATCTGGCCCCTCCAGTTTGGGTCCTTTGAATCCAAATGACGGCATCTTCATCTTTGGCATCTTAAATCCTCCTGAACCTTCAATGTCAACATCTGGATGTTCGATGTCTACTTTGGGAGCATTAAGGTTTCCTTCGATCTTGGGGACTGATACATTGAAATCTCCTTTCATTTTTGGACCTTTCAGGTTGAAGTCCACATCAGGCATAGAGATATTTGGTCCTGATATCGATGGCATCTTGAATTTTGGCCCTTTGATTTTACCATCTGGGCCTTCAATGTCTAGTTCTGGACCTTCGAGGTCAACATTGGGCCCCTTAATATCAATGTTAGCTTTAGGAAGGTTGACATCAACATCTGGCCCCTCCAGTTTGGGTCCTTTGAATCCAAATGACGGCATCTTCATCTTTGGCATCTTAAATCCTCCTGAACCTTCAATGTCAACATCTGTACCTTCAATGTCTACTTTGGGAGCTTTGAGGTCTCCTGACATATCAAAATCTCCCTTCATCTTTGGACCTTTTAGATTGAAATCCACATCGGGCATGGAGATCTTTGGTCCAGAAATTGATGGCATCTTGAATTTTGGCCCTTTGATTTTACCATCGGGACCTTCAATGTCTAGGTTTGCATCGTTGATGTCAACATCAGGTCCCTCAATGTCAATGTCAGCTTTAGGTAGTTTGAGATCGACATCCGGACCCTCCAGGTTAGGTCCTTTGAATCCAAATGAAGGCATCTTCATCTTTGGCATCTTAAATCCTCCTGAACCTTCAATGTCAACATCTGGCCCTTCAATGTCTACTTTTGGTGCTTTGAGGTCTCCTTCTATTATTGGCACAGACATGTCCACATCTCCCTTTATCCTTTGACCTTTCAGGTTGAAATCCACATCAGGCATAGAGATCTTTGGTCCTGATATTGATGGCATCTTGTATTTTGGGCCCTTAATTTTGCCATCAGGGCTTTCAATGTCAATTTCCGGAACTTTAATGTCAACACTGGGTCCCTTAATGCCAATGTCAGCTTTAGGTAGGTTAATATCTACATCTGGTATCTCTACCTTAGGGCTTTTGAATCCAAATTTTGGCATTTTGAATTTGGATCCCTTGACTTTAGTAGCCCCAACATCAAGCTCAAGTTCTGAAACACTACCTTTCGGTCCTTTGACATTAATATCTGCTTTCGCAAGATTTACATCAACCTCAGGAGACTTGACTTTTGGCCCTTTGAATCCAAACTTTGGCATTTTGAACATAGACTTCTTCGGTGTAATGTCAGGACTCTCTATTGAGACATCCAACCCATCAACGTCAGCTTTGGGTGTAGTGTTTTCTCCCTCCACTCCCCCCTTGAACTTTGGCCCTTTGAGATTGAAATCAACATCAGGCATTGACATTTTGGGGGCAGACATAGAGGGCATCTTCATCTTTGGCATTTTAAATCCTCCCGAACCTTCAATGTCAACATCTAGACCTTCAAAGTCTACTTTGGGTGCTTTCAGGTCTCCTTCAATCATTGGCACGGACATGTCCACATCTCCCTTTATCTTTGGACCTTTCAGATTGAAATCCACGTCTGGCATTGAGATCTTTGGTCCAGATATTGATGGCATTTTGAATTTCGGTCCTTTGATTTTACCATCTGGACCTTCAATGTCCAGTTCTGGAACTTTAATGTCAACATTTGGTCCCTTGATGTCAATGTCAGCTTTGGGTAGGTTGAGATCAACATCTGGACCCTCCAGTTTAGGACTTTTGAATCCAAATGATGGCATCTTCATCTTTGGCATCTTAAATCCTCCTGAACCTTCAATGTCAACATCTGGACCTTCAATGTCTACTTTGGGTGCTTTGAGGTCTCCTGACACATCGAAATCTCCTTTCATCTTTGGACCTTTTAGGTTGAAGTCCACATCGGGCATGGAGATATTTGGTCCTGACATTGACGGCATCTTGAATTTCGGCCCTTTGATTTTACCATCAGGGCCTTCAATGTCAAGTTCTGGACCTTTAACATCCACTTTGGGCACTTTGATGTCTATATCAGCTTTTGGTAGGTTAACATCAACATCTGGACCCTCCATTTTGGACCTTTGAATCCAAATGACGGCATCTTCATCTTTGGCATCTTAAATCCTCCTGAACCTTCAATGTCAACATCTGGCCCCTCTATGTCTACTTTGGGTGCTTTGAGGTCTCCTTCTATCTTGGGCACTGACACATCAAAATCTCCTTTCATCTTTGGACCTTTTAGGTTGAAGTCCACATCGGGCATGGAGATCTTTGGTCCAGAAATGGATGGCATCTTGAATTTTGGCCCTTTGATTTTACCATCAGGGCCTTCAATGTCAAGTTCTGGACCTTTAACATCCACTTTGGGCGCTTTGATGTCTATATCAGCTTTTGGTAGGTTAACATCAACATCTGGACCCTCCAATTTTGGACCTTTGAATCCAAATGACGGCATCTTCATCTTTGGCATCTTAAATCCCCTGAACCTTAAATGTCAACATCTGGCCCCTCTATGTCTACTTGGGTGCTTTGAGGTCTCCTGAACACATCAAATCTCCTTTCATCTTTGGACCTTTAGTTTGAGTCCACATCGGGCTGGAGATTTTGGTCCGGGATTGACGGCACTTGAATTTCGGCCCTTTGATTTACCATCAGGGCCTTCAATGTCAAGTTCTGGACCTTTAACATCCACTTTGGGCACTTTGATGTCTATATCAGCTTTGGTAGGTTAACATCAACATCTGGACCCTCCAATTTTGGACCTTTTGAATCCAAATGACGGCATCTTCATTTTTGGGCATCTTAAATCCTCCTGAACCTTAAATGTCAACATCGGGCCCCTTAATGTCTACTTTGGGTGTTTTGATGTCGCCTTCAAGCTTTGGCACTGATACATCCACCTCTCCCTTTACCTTTGAAGTTTTCAGATTGATATCCACATCGGGCATTGAGATCTTTGGTCCAGATATTGATGGCATCTTGAATTTGGGGTCTTTGATTTTACCATCAGGCCCTTTAATGTCAATTTCTGGACCTTCAATGTCAATGTCAGCTTTTGGTAGGTTAACATCCATTTCTGGACCCTCCAATTTAGGTCCTTTGATTCCAAATGATGGCATCTTCATCTTTGGCATCTTAAATCCTCCTGAACCTTCAATGTCAACATCTGGACCTTCAATGTCTACTTTGGGTGCTTTGACGTCTCCTTCTATCTTGGGCCCTGACACATCAAAATCTCCCTTCATCTTTGGACCTTTCAGATTGAAGTCCACGTCAGGCATTGAGATGTTTGGTCCTGACATTGACGGCATCTTGAATTTCGGCCCTTTGATTTTACCATCAGGGCCTTCAATGTCAAGTTCTGGACCTTTAATGTCCACTTTGGGCGCTTTGATGTCAATGTCAGCTTTTGGTAGGTTAACATCAACATCTGGACCCTCCAATTTAGGTCCTTTGAATCCGAATGATGGCATCTTCATCTTTGGCATCTTAAATCCTCCTGAACCTTCAATGTCAACATCTGGACCTCCAATGTCTACTTTGGGTGCTGATATGTCTCCTTTTATCTTTGGCACTGACATGTCCACATCACCCTTCAGCTTGGGCCCTTTAAGACTGATGTCCATTTCAGGCGTTGAGATCTTTGGGCCTGACATTGATGGCATCTTGAATTTTGGGACCTTGATTTTTCCATCAGGGTCTTCGATGTCAAGTGCTAGACCTTTTATATTAACATTAGGTCCCTTGATGTCAATCTCACCTTTAGGTAGTTTGACATCAACATCTCCCTCAACTTTGGGTCCTTTGATTCCAAATGAGGGCATCTTTATCTTTGGCATTTTGAATCCACCTTCAAGTCCTTCAACGTCAATATCTGGCCCTTCAATGTCTACTTTGGGAGCCTTGATGTCTCCTTCTAGCTTTGGCAATGATACATTCACGTCTCCCTTCACCTTTGGACCTTTCAAATTGATGTCCACATCGGGCATTGAGATCTTTGGTCCTGATATTGATGGACCTTTAATATCAACTTTGGGAGCCTTGTGGTCAATGTCAGCTTTTGGTAGGTTGACATCAACAGCAGGACCCTCACGTCCGGCTCCTTTGATCCCAAATGATGGCATCTTTACTTTGGGTATCTTGAAACCGCCTTCTGGACCTTCTATATCAACACCTGAACCTTGAACTTTGGGTGCTTTGATGTCAACACCACCCATCTTCTTTCCTCCTTTCACATTCATAGATGGGCCTGAAACATCTACATCTACCCCTGGAACCGAAACATCCACAGTGCCCTTCACCTGCGGTAGTTTAACATCTCCATCGCTCTCTGCACCTCCAGTGTTCAGTCCAAATGATGGTATTTTGATGCCACCTTTGAGTTTGCTTTCACTTTCAATGGTTGTTTCTTTTATTGACTGTCCTTTTACAGACATTTTCACCGAGCCAGACTCCTTTATGCCTGGGGTATTGATGTCAAGTTTTGGCGCTCTTATGTCCGTTGATATCTTGCCTCCATTCAACCCTGTATCAATTCCTGGCTTGTTGGGTAAGGAAACCCCACCCTGGTTCCCTCCGGAGAGACTCGCCGACCCTCTCATCTGTTGATCACTAACGGTTATTTCAGGTACTAAACCTCCGACCCAGTCTGCACTTCCTCTACCAGGCAAATTAACGTCTACTCCTCTCACCTCCCCTTCACCCATTGATATGGCGCTGGAGGAAATATTTGTTGTTCTTCCAGGGACCGTGACACTAGCTGATCCTGCCTGGTAGTCACCTGAGCCACCTGAAACCAGAAAGCTCCCGTCCCCCTGCTCACCCCGTCTACACAGGCCGAACTCCCCCTGACCCTTCGCCCCCGACATCCCAAAGCTAGGTCCTTTGAATCTGATCCCTGCTGCTCCACCATCTCCCACCTCCATCTCCCTCGTAACAGCGGTGGTCTTCACCCCTCCAGTGCTCCAGTGCTTCTCAGAAGAGCTAGTGACATGTGGCCCAGTGAAAGAAACACCGTCACCTCCTAGTTCACCCGCCACCAATCCACCACCTATGCCTGAAGGGCTTCCGCTTCCGTGTAAAACTCGGATTTGAGACGACGAGCTGTCCCCTCCTGACTGCTCTGGGCCGGTGAGCTCAAGCTGCTCATCCACGCCCCCCGGCATGTCCACGGTGTAGGTGGTGATGCGACGGGTGATGGTAGTGATCGTGCTGCCGTCGGTGCTGGTGCTGCTGTGGCGCTCCGTACGGACGTCCACGCCCTCAGCCAGATCCTCAGACTTCAGCCGGGGCTTAATCTTCTTGGAATATATTCTCTTGTAGTCTTCATCATCCCCACTCTGGTCTCGTCAAAAGAAGGTGAAATCAGTAATTGCAGTAATTCATTAATTTATTACATTAGGTACTAACACTATTGTTGAAAATATACAGTATGAACATTCGATATGGAAGTAAGTCTATTTGAGATGATTTATTGATCATTTGAGAAAATAGTGAAGTCTGTATTGAAGAAGTTTGTGTTCACCAGAGTTGGGGTCAATTCCATTTCAATTCCAGTGAATTCAGAATTCTAATTACAATTCTAAATTGGAATTTCAGTGTACATTCAGAATTGACTGGAAGTGAAATAGAATTGACCCCAACCCTTGTCTTTACATAAAAGCTATTGAAAAGTTTATTAAAGTCCTGTAAAATCCCAATCTTTGCCGCACCATCACGCAAGTAAATACACTTAACATTGCTTGCACAGTCAACATAGCTACATACCAGGATATTGTCTTGGCTGGAGCCTCCAAACCTTCCCTTCCCTTCATACGTCAGAGTTCCCATTGGGGAACGGCTGGGTGACAGAGTTCCCATGGGGGAACGGCAGGGTGACTTGTCCTTGTTTTGTAGTTTCAGTCCAACCTTGTGTTTGTTTAAGGTCTTAAGGAGCTCCGCCGTCTCCTCGGAACTCATGTTGTCAAAGTAGATGGTGGCCCCCACGATTTGATCACCTTTAGGGGAGGACACAAGAGAACATTGATACCATGTTAAAATCCGTCAGTCAAATAGATTTGGAATAAAACGAAAAAATTTAGATCAAGCAAACTTTACATAAATTATAAGATATCAGGAGCTTAAATAACAGTAGAAATCAATTAAGTTGATGTATTATAGAAAATGAATACTGTACATAAGAGCAATTCTAACACTGTTACATACCCTCATGTACTCTTCCAGTGCGTCCAGCAGGCGACTCCATTTTCACCTCTTTGACATAGATCTCTCCTTCTCCTGACTGCTCAAGGGTCATTCCCTGTTTCTCTGGACCCGACCAGTCAGAGAAGAGCACCTCCCTGGTCTCCTCCTCCTCAGCCATCCTTTAATAATAATAGATGTAAAAAGCGCTTTTCAATACAAGAAGAATCTCAAAGATGCTTTGAAGACCAACAATATTAAGTTAGTTCATGTTAGTTCAGGGGGGATAAAAGATTGATGAGAGATTGATGAAGAGAGGATGAGGAGAGAGAGAAGAGAGAGAGAGAGAGAGAGAGAGAGGAGACGGAGTGAGAGAGAAGATGAGAGAGAAGAGCGCAGGTGAGGAGAGAGAGGAAGAGAAGAGCTAGAGGAGAGGGAGAGAGAGGAGAGAAGTAGAGGGAGAGGAAGAGAGAGATGAGAGCGAGAGGATAGAGATAGGTGAGAGAGAGAGAGAGAAGAGAGAGAGAGAGAGACGTCCGACTGAGTTGAGAGAGATATGGATAGAGATGGGGGAGGGAGAGAGGAGATTCGCGAGAGAGATCGAGAGATATATAGAGATAGGGGGGGGGGGGGGATCACAATAAATATAAAATAAAATGCAAATAAAGACTATAGTAATACCTTTGGTTTTCCTTGTCCTCTGCCTATGCTCTGGTGTGGTTCGTTTCTGCCTTGGTTTTCCTGAAAAACAAAACATGCCATAACATCAGTACAAAGAAAACCCTGTTAAAATGTAAGGCACCTGTCATATTTGCATGTTTATTTGCTTTTATGAAAAACATGTTCTACCTGTCACTCACCACATGGTTACAACAAGTTCTTGTTATACGTGATGGCCTAAGACGTATGAAATGGCCAATAGATGGCGCTAAAACTCTGGGTAGGTGAGTAGTACTGTAGTAATGTCCTATATAACCAACTCTCAGTTGCCTCCTTTTTCTCCTGTGCTGCGTTTTGTGGCCGTTTGGTTAGAGTTGGGACTGAGACCACACCCTGCCCTGAGGAAAGCTGCCTGATCCTGCAGCCTACACCTCTGCTCCAATGTCAATACTGAGAACAATGATGGTTGTAGCGCTTTAAGCGTCAGTTTGTCAGAGCACCTTACCGATCACTGCACCTGTACACAGCCCATCTGTAATTAGCCCGCCCAACTACCTCGTCCCTATATTGTTATTTATTTTGCTCTTTTGCACCCCAGTATCTCTTTTTGCACATCACCTCTTGCACATCTATCATTCCAGTGTTAATACTAATTGTTATTATTTTGCACTATGGCCTATTTATTGCCTTACCTCCATAACTTGCTACATTTGCACACACTGTATATATTTTTTCTGTTGTATTTTTGACTTTATGTTTTTTTTTTACCCCATATGTAACTCTGTGTTGTTGTTTTTAATCGCACTGCTTTGCTTTATCTTGGCCAGGTCGCAGTTGTAAATGAGAACTTGTTCTCAACTGGCTTACCTGGTTAAATAAAGGTGAAATAAAAATAAAATAAAAAAAGTAGCTGCCATTCTTTTAGACAAAACGCACACACACACACGTTTGTATAAAACACACACACACACACACACATAAACCAAACCTCTTGTTTTGTACACACAGCATCAGAGAAGGTGAGACCAAACTGTCATTTTTTTCCCTGGTTTGATTCCTGACAGACTATTTCCATTCAACTATTTGTTGTGAAATTGACTTCCTCATTTGTAACTATCGTCACTTAGCTGGGCATGTTCAAGATGTGTTCAATTTTGTAAATAATATGTCGGAACTGAGGAGTACATGCAGTAGAGGAGATACAGTTTGAAGTCGGAAAGTTTACATCCTCTTAGGTTGGAGTCATTAAAACAGCAAAGGACCTTGTGAAGACGCTGGAGGAAACAGGTACAAAAGTATCTACATCCACAGTAAAAACGAGTCCTATATCGACATAACCTGAAAGGCCGCTCGGCAAGGAAGAAGCCACTGCTCCAAAACCGCCATAAAAAAAGCCAGACTACGGTTTGTGGACAAAGATCGTACTTTTTGGAGAAATGTCCTCTGGTCTGATGAAACAAAAATAGAACTGTTTGGCCATAATGACCATCGTTATGTTTGGAGGAAAAAGGTGATATCTTGCAAGCCGAAGAACACCATCACAACCGTGAAGCACGGGGGTGGCAGCATCATGCTGTGGGGGTGCTTTGCTGCAGGAGGGACTGGTGCACTTCACAAAATAGATGGCATCATGAGGAAGGAAAATTATGTGGATATATTGAAGCAACATCTCAAGACATCAGTCAGGAAGTTAAAGCTTGGTCACAAATTGGTCTTCCAAATGGACAATGACCCCAAGCATACTTCCCAAGTTGTGGCAAAATGGCTTAAGGACAACAAAGTCAAGGTATTGGAGTGGCCATAACAAAGCTCTGACCTCAATCCTATAGAAAATTTGTGGGCAGAACTGAAAAAGCGTGTGCGAGCAAGGAGGCCTACAAACCTGACTCAGTTACACCAGCTCTGTCAGAAGGAATGGGCCAAAATTCACCCAACTTATTGTGGGAAGCTTGTGGAAGGCTACCCGAAACGTTTGACCCAAGTTAAACAATTTAAAGGCAATGCTACCAAATACTAATTGAGTGTATGTACACTTCTGACCCACTGGGAATGTGATGAAATAAATAAAAAGCTGAAATAAATCATTTTCTCTACTATTATTCTGACATTTCACATTCTTAAAATAAAGTGGTGATCCTAACTGACCTAAGACAGGGAATTTTTACTAGGATTAAATGTCAGGAATTGTGAAACACTGAGTTTAAATGTATTTGGCTAAGGTGTATGTAAACTTCCGACTGCAATTGTAGGTATTACAGAGAGGGATTAGTGGGTCCCACCCTTTGATTTCACAGGTTTAGCAAGGCAAGTTTTAGGAAAGGCTAAACCCTGTGATGCAACCACAAAATGTTGATGTTTATACAACAGATATCCAGCCTGGTCTCATGGGCTAGATGTAACATAGTAAACGTAAAGCCGGGACACTCAAATTAGTATGATATGTTACGTTTGGTACGGTTACATAAGACACAAGGTTACTTAAGGCAAAAATGAAAGGAGGGTGGTTGGTCGGGGTGGATGGGTAGGCATATAACGCAAACGTCTAGCAACCCAAATGTTGCGTGTTCAAATCTCATCACAGACAACTTTAGCATTTTAGCTCATTTGCGACTATTTACTACATTTTAGCTAATTAGCAACTACTTAGCATTTTAGCTCAACCTTCCCCTAACCTTAACCCTTTAACCCTAACCCCTAGAGCTAACGTTAGCCAGCTAGCTAGCGTTAGTCACCTAGCTAACGTTAGACACAATGTTTTGCAAATTTGCAACTTATTGTACAAACTTCAATTCGTAACATATTGTAGGAATTGTAATTCGTAAGATATCATACGAATTGTAATTCATTACATATCATACGAATTGTAATTCATAACATACTGTATCATACAAATTATAAGTTGTAACATATCATATGAAATGGATGATGGACATCCACAAATCAATGCATACCATACGAAACGTAACCTATCATAATAAATGTAATCTCTCTGATTTACGTAAAGAATAATACGAAATGCTCTGAGACCATGTTGAGATATAATGCACTTTGACAGGGAGGACGATCAAAAACATATGTGGCTTATAACTCATTATTTGCACCCTAGCTCTCCCCTTTCTTCCAATGGAACTGTACTGTTTGAAATGTCAAATATAGGCCTACAAAAAGCCAGCTACATCAAATACAATTTGACAATGTTCATAGCCATGAAAGCAATGTACTACACATCACATAAACAAAACACTACGCTACAAGTACAACACAGCAATAAAGTGATTTGTTTACATCTTGCCAGGGTGAGTGACTGTCCCGTCCAACACATTCTGAGAAGACCTAGCCTACGCTCCACAGTCCAACACATTGGGGACAGACAACCCATTGTTTCATTAAAATGTCGACTCCTCGACAACCCACCCCTGTAATTACATCAGCCTTGTCTGTGCTGTATCAACCTTCACCTACGCAGACAGTGTAGGTCTATGTTACCCCATGCTTTAGAGATTCTGACAGACAACTATGTCAGTTTTCAAAGGGACCCTAATTCATCAAGAAGACTGTGTAGGTTGAGTCCTAAATTTCACCCTGTTCCCTACATACAGTTGAAGTCGGAAAGTTTAGGTTGGAGTCATTAAAACTCGTTTTTTTTCAACCACTCCACAAATTTCTTCTTAACAAACTATGGTTTTGGCAAGTCGGTTAGGACATCTACTTTGTGCATGACACAAGTCATTTTTCCAACAATTGTTTACAGACAGATCATTTAACTTATAATTCACTGTATCACAATTCCAGTGGGTCAGAAGTTTACATACACTAGGTTGACTGTGCCTTTAAACAGCTTGGAAAATTCCAGAAAATGATGTCATGGCTTTAGAAGCTTCTGATAGGCTAATTGACATCATTTGAGTCCATTTGAGGTGTACCTGTGGATGTATTTCAAGGCCTACCTTCAAACTCAGTGCCTCTTTGCTTGACATCATGGGAAAATCCAAAGAAATCAGCCAAGACCTCAGAAAGGAAAGTTGTAGACCTCCACAAGTCTGATTCATCCTTGGGAGCAATTTCCAAATGCCTGAAGGTACCACGTTCATCTGTGCAAACAATAGTACACAAGTATAAACACCATGGGACCACGCAGCCGTCATACCGCTCAGGAAGGAGACACTTTGTCTCCTAGAGATTAACGTACTTTGGTGCGAAAAGAGCAAATCAATCCCAGAACAACAGCAAAGGACCTTGTGAAGATGCTGGAGGTAACAGGTACTAAAGTATCTATATCCACAGTAAAACGAGTCCTATATCGACATAAACTGAAAGGTCGCTCAGCAAGGAAGAAGCCACTGCTCCAAAACCGCCATAAAAAAGCCAGACTACGGTTTGCAACTGCAAATGGGGACAAAGATCGTACTTTTTGGAGAAATGTCCTCTGGTCTGATGAAACAAAAATAGAACTGTTTGGTCATAATGACAATTTTTATGTTTGGAGGAAAAAGGTGATAGCTTGCAAGCCGAAGAACACCA